AGATGGTCTGTGTACAGCGCTGGGCACCAGGGACCCAGTGTGTGGGGTTTGAATTGGAGATGGTTTGTATACAGCACTGGGCATCAGGGACCCAGAGTGTGGGGTTTGAACTGGAGATAGTCTGTGTACAGCGCTGGGCGCCAGGGACCCAGTGTGTAGGGTTTGAATTGGAGATGGCTTGCATAGAGTGCTAGGCGCCAGGGACGAGGAGTGTGGGGTTTGCTCCGCGCAGTAGGTGCAGCTGGTGTTTCCCCAGTGCCTTGCTCAGGAGCAGGTGTTCTGGAACGTCAGGAAAGTGACTGAGCCAACTATGAACACTTGGGGGATTTGTATTGGTGTCTTGTTTTATAGTTTCTTTTTACCGATTATCAATATGTCTTTAAAAAGCTTAGTAAGCATGTTGCGGCTCTATTCATAAAAAATTGTCTTTTTTAGGCACTTTTAAACCAACTTAGAGCTGTGTTTGATCAAATCATTGAACTTCAGAATGCTCAGGACGCAATATACAGAACTGCTTTGGAAGAATTACAGAGACGACTGCAGTTTGAAGAGAAAAAGAAGCAGAATGAGATTGAGGTATGGTTTTTATACTGGTTTATCAATTTTAATAGTGAACTTCTTGCCATGGGAATAACAAGGGGCACTAAATGCTTTTCTGGCTGAGATTTTCACATAAGTTGAGATGGGCTCAAACTGCCGGCGGGGTCTTGAGAAAGTACTGACTGTCCTGAAGATGGACGGGTCACCTGCACCATCATCACCATGTTGGAAAAAACAGTGCATAGGAGAACCAGAGACCTCATACCAGTTCTCACTAGTAAGCGTTAAGCTGTGGAAATCATCTGTGCAGGTCCCTCCACAATCTCCCCACCTCTGTGTTGCTGTCACGAAGCTGCTGGATGGCACAGTGGGCAGGTTGTGTACTGGGTGTGTGTCTGCAGATGTGTGTCAGCCTGTGCTGGGTGACATCCCGATAAATCTCTCATAAATTGAAAATATTGTAAGTTGAAAAGTGCATTTAATATAAGTTGAACATCTCTAATCTGAAATCTGAAGTGCTCCTAAGTCTGAAACTTCTGGGCACTGGCATGATGCCCCAAGATATCTCGTTATGTACATGCAAATATTCCAAAATCTAACATCTCGGAACACTTCTGGTCTTTAGCACTTTAGAGAAAGTTTACTCAGCCTGTATCCTGATAAAACCATAGTAAAATAAAAGAATCTTTTTTTTTTTTTTTTTTTTTTGAGACAGAGCCTCAAGCTGTCCCCTTGGGTTTGCCTTGGCATCACAGCTCACAGCAACCTCCAATTCCTGGGCTCAAGAGAGTCTCCTGCCTCAGCCTCCCAAGTAGCTGGTAACACAGGTGCCAGCCACAACGCCCGGCTATTTTTTGGTTGCAGCCATCGTTGTTTGGCAGGCCCAGGCTGGATTCAAACCCACCACCTTACGTGTATGTGGCTGGCGCCTAAGCCACTTGAGCCACAGGCGCTGAGCCAAAATAAAAGAATGTTAAGTAGGGTGTCTTAAGATGAAGACTCTATGTGTCTGTACTTGCACACCTGTGTGTACCTGTGTGTGTACACATGTGTGCATGTATCAGTGGGTACATGTGCGTATGTGTGTTTATGTGTACCCACGTGTGCGTGCGTGTGTGTGTATGAACCAAATTTCTGTGCTGTCTGTTATTTTCAGTAACTTTTCCAATGTGTCCTCATTGACCTGGAATTGGGAAGACTTACTAATCAGATTTGGTTGTTTGTGAGAGTTCTTGTATATGTTATGTTCTGTATAATCTTCTCCTTTTTCATGTGTCACAGAATGACCTTTCAGTCAATGACAGACCATGTGTACAGTGGGGGTCCCGTGAGATCACAGCACCATATTTTTGCTGTGCCTTTTCTGTGTTCAGACGAGTCTAGACACAGGCTGTTGTGTTAGGGTCCTCACCATGCTTGGCCTATGTACCTGTGCTCTGCAGTGTCACACGAGATTTTAGCTCTCAGAATGTGTCCCTCTCATTAACCAATGCGTGACTCCACCTATTCTTGAGATGGTCAAAATTGTTGAGTCAATACAATTTGGGTAGTTTTACTTTTAAGTATTATTTCTCTTAAAGCCTGTGTTAGAGGACCATGCTTACTTGGAAAGTCACAGCCACTAAGAGCACGAGTCACTTCTTTGGTATATTCTGGAAATATTGGTATTGGAAGAGGCCGCATGCCTGTTCCAGTTCAGATTTAGGGTTAAAGGGCTTTCACTTCTTTCATTTTTATAGTTCACATTTCAGCACTGAAAGCCTGACTTTCAGTGTTGTCTTATTCAGCCCCCTCCGCTCGCACCGCAGCCACACTGTGTGCACCCACGCCCACAGCTGGATGAGGACCCTGATACCACCAGCAGCAGCATAGTTTCAAAAAGAACGTTACTTTTTTGTACTTCTTTCTTTTCTTCCTTAGGGTGTATTTCACTAGGTGAGTGGTTCCAATTCCATGTGATAGCATCCCTTGAAGTAATACTCCCAGGAGGCTGTGCCATTGACTCCTGTGACCCACACCACACTGTGCACAGATCGGTTAGTTTCATTTTGGGTTTTAGTTTTTAGGGATTGTTTCATTTACAAAACAAAGGTGAATTATAAAAGATAACCTGACTCCAGAGTCAAAGTTACAAAACAAAACATTTAGACAAGTCTAACATGGTCACTCGCTCTCTGCTGTGTAGACTGGTCTTTCTCATAAACATGGAGGTAAAAATCCAAAGAATTGGGCGGTGCCTGTGGCTCAGTGAGTAGGGCACCAGCCCCATATACCGAGGGTGGCGGGTTCAAACCCGGCCCTGGCCAAACTGCAACCAAAAAATAGCTGGGTGTTGTGGCGGGTGCCTGTAGTCCCAGCTACTCGGGAGGTTGAGGCAAGAGAATTGCTTCAGCTCAAGAGTTGGAGGTTGCTGTGAGCTGTGGTGTCACGGCACTCTACTGAGGGCAACAAAGTGAGACTCTGTCTCTATTAAAAAAAAAAAAATCCAAAGAATCACTGACCTGTGATGTACCAAAAAGATGTGTTAAGACAAGTCTGAGCTTATTCAGGAATACAGTGCTCTTTTCATTATTCTAATAAAATGACTGAAGTTCACACTTATAAACTAAAGGAGAAAAATTATATGATTTCTCAGTAGATGGAGAAAGATATTTAATCCCAAGTAAAAACTTATAAAAAGATTTGTGTGAAAAATCTATAGCAAAATATAGTGAAATGTTGAGGGTTTCCCTCAGACAGAGTAAGAGCACTTCTAGGCCGCGTCACGAGCCAGGAGGAAGCACAGGATGAAAGGAGAAACAAAATCATCTTATTTTTGATTTCTTTTGCAAAAGTTAATAGTTGTAGTCCTAGAAAATCTAAAGTAATCTGATAAATTATTGGAATTAATAGGTGAATTTATAAAGGTAACTGAAAACAAAGTCTTTATCCAAAACCTTATTATTGTATTAGGAATAACCAAGGTGAAATTAAAAAAAAAAAGCCACTAGAAGAGCATTAAAATGTAACAAATGTATGTAGGTCCTCTCTACAGGAAACTGAAACAGGATCCTTGAAACCTAAAGTTCAAGGATCAGGTTTGGCCTGTTTCCATGACTACTGTACTGGAGTCTGGGTTCTGTCTGCACGTGGTCTGTGGTTGCATTTGTGCCACTGCAGCTGGGCTGAGTATTCGGGAGAGCCCCATGGCCCGTAAACCTTCAAAGCATCTTATCGTCTGACTTTTATAAATCGTTATTGGGAGACATAAAAGCGATTCTAAGTAGGGGAGTTATGTGTTTATGGATCAGAGAATTGATACATAAACTCAGTGAACTTCTAATTCTTATCTCAACCATTTTTATTATTGGTAGGAGTTGATAAGCTAGTTCTAAAATTTATGTGGAGATACGCCTAGAGACGAGATTACTGAACAAGAACAAACTAGAAGGACGTGAGTGAGACTGTGTGTGTGCTCAAGACTCACTGTGAAGTCACGATTGCTCAAAGCCAGGTGTGGTGTGGGTCACAGGAGGAGGAATCAGCACCACAGCGGGTGGCACCTAGAGCCTGGGATGAGGGCCCAGAAAATGGTGTTAGGCCCTCACCCCAACACAGAAAAACCAACACAAGGCAGGTTTAAATCTAAATATGGAGGTAAGATACTAAAGCTTTCAGGAGCAGAGTACGGATCTTGAGATAAGGAGACTTTTCTTAAATTAAGTATAAAAGATACTAGCTGTAAAGGAAAGTAACAGTCTTTATGATAAAATAAGGAAAAAGCCAGCTGTTGACCTGGAGAACTTACACATGTAGCCATAGCTCATCTGTAATGTATAAAGCTCTTATAAATCCGTAGGATAACCCCATTAAATGTGTGTTCACTTTGTGAAAAGGTTTCCTCATTAATCATCAGATAAGTCAGGGTTAAAAGCCCCACTGATGTGTGACACCATAACAGGACGACTAAAATTATGAAGACAGATAACAGTGTTGGTGAGGACATGAGAATGATTGCCGTCCAGTGCCGCTGTCCCAGGTGAACTGGGCACTGCTCTGGGAGCTCAGGCAGTGGCCTGGGCTGACCTGGGTCTTGTGACGCAGCATGTCCTCTTCCAGGTACACACCCGGTGGAAATGCATTCTCAGGCTCACCAGCATCACTTGTAGCAGCTGGAGGTCCCTGGGCGGAAGGGGAGTGATTGGGAGAGGCCCCAAGGAGCATCTTCTAGGGTGCCAGCTGTATTCTCCGTCTCCACGCACTGGGTGTGTGGGAGTATATTCGTCTTGTGATGATTTATTATGTGTGGTTTATGTTACAATAAAATAGAGCAACTTAAAATCTTGTTTAAAGATATAAAGGACACAAGTTGGTAGAGGAAGAAGAATTAGGAAGTAGCATAAATGCTGTGATTTCTCCATTCTTGATAGTGTTTAAAGTTCATGCATCAAGTGAAACAGGCGTAAATATGTTAAATGGTGTTAAAGACAGAAACAAGAAACATGTTAGCTGGCTGAGGAGGGATAGTTTTATAGTTGCACATGTTAGGTATTGAGGATCCCCCCAGCCAGGCAGACTTGCTAGCTTGGAAGTCTTAGCACAGAACAGACAGTCAAAACACAGTGATGTAGAAATGTTTGTCAGGGACACAGTGGACAAGGCATCCCAAACACACTGAATTCTTCAGAGGAGAAGAAGCCGTGGTTCAAGGCACAAACAGTGAACAGGAGGAGATGTCTTGGAGGGCTACAGTGTGTAGGTCATGATGAAGGGAGAAGGCTCAGCCCCTGCGAGCGAGCACCTGGCAGTGTGCCGTCAGTGCTCCTTTACAGACCAACCATGCAAGGAGCAGTGGTGAGACCCATTAGTATTAGAAGTGTAATTGTTTCTTGTAGACCATGAAAGATGAATTACATATAAATAAGGACATAATTATGAAAATCTGTAGCTCCCAATGCCTGTGTTAGTGACCTGGAGAGTAGGACAGTCAGGAAAGTAAACATCACATCCACCGTGCTGGGAACGGGGCTGTGAGGTGAATTGGAAGGCGGGACTGGGTGTGCTGGTGCCAGGCAGCACGTTGCTGCTGCCACTGTGTGGCCAGTTCCAGACCGGCCTCCCTGTCCAGCCTTCCTCTCACCATTGCACTTGATTAGTCATAATTAAAGATAAGAGCAAAAATTAATGAACTAGAAAATAAGTAAAAGAGTTAAAGAGCAGAGACCAAGAGCTGGTCCTTTTGGAGGGGGGCAAGGGATGGTGGGAGATTAAAATAAGCTATTAACTAATCTAGTCAATAACGGGAAGAAAAGGTACAAAGTGAGAAAAATGTACTATTTTTCTCGGATCTGCGGAAATCTGTGTCCATGAAGGAAATCAATGATTTTCTATAGGTTTCCAAAACTGATGGCAGGAAGAGAAAGCACATTCTAGACAAAACAGTCTATTAAGGAAGCAAAATTACTGAAGGGCTCAGCCGCCAGCCCCAGGTCAGCGTGCTGAGACGTGTCCAACCTCCAGTCATGGACAAGGGAGTCCCGCACTGGGCGGGGAGCACCATGAGGCCGCCGTCATAACGCACAGAGAAAACCAAGTTGGACCGTAGGTGTGGATGGAGAAATCTCATGTGAAATGTGAGTGAAAAGTCTCTTACAGAATCTGAAATTTACCAAGACTGGAATTCATGTCAGGAATATAAATAGTGTAATGTAATTCACCATAGTTGCTAAAAAGAAAATAATTCACTGATAATTCCTAGATATACTAGCTGAAAGGGCATTTAGTCAAATTCACCATTGATTAAAAACAATCTTAAAAATAGAAATAAATGGCTATATCTCCAAAACAAAAAAATACATCATCATATTTAGGGAAATAGTAAATGTCTCATTAAGGCAGGTTATTTAAGGGGTGCCCTGCAGTTTTCTGTGTTTTGTCTGTGTAAGAGCTGTGGACGACATGGCCGGGAGAGATCACAGCATTGCGACTCGTTTCTGAGGCGATTCTCAGTGTGCTCAAAGTGTTCATGTGAAATGTTCCCAAGAAAAAATTAAGGTGGAGAGCCTAAGAAAATTACCATGCAGGTTTTCAGCAGTGCAGAGGGTGCGGAAAATGTGTCTCTTGCCCTCATGAGCCAGCCTCGCCCCACTCTGCAGACAGTTCTTCCATCGAGACTTTAACTCCATCTGGAGCTTTTGATTCTTCAGGGCCAGTGGGGCGTGACAGCAGCAGAGAAAGAGGAGGAGGAGAAGAGGGTTCGAGAGTTCAAGGACTCTATCCCCAGGATGTGTTCTCAGCTGCGCATTTTGACTCACTTCTACCAGGTGCGTATCGGGGCATCTTCTGTGATTGACACTTGCTTTCTGGATGATCAGATTTGGATCTGTGCTGTCACTTTGGTACTTACCTGTGTAGGTGAGAGTGGCACTAATGGGGGGGCCTGCCTTGGCTACCTGCTAGACCCCTTGGGGCCCTGAGACTGCCCCACTGGACCTCGCCCCACCTGGGCTCTGAGGCGGTGCAGGTGCAGCCAGGATGAGCGCCGAAAGGGTTGGCTGTGGGCTCACCGTGAGGGGTGCCCCTGCCATGGACAGCTGACCCTGCTGCAGACAAGCAGAAACCCAGCTGTGTAGAGATGCCAGCTGCCTACTCACTCAGATGGTGGACTGGGGACTCACGGCTACGCCATGCGTCTCTGTGCTCTGCTAAGATTCTATTTTGAGAGTCCAGTTCCTCATTTCATCCATTTCCCCATGAGATTTTAATAATAGAAAAACAGATGGGAAGATTTCATGAGGAATGTTTTCATCTGGATGCTGTAACTGAGATGAGCGCTGACCCCCAGTGGTCCACGTGCTGCTCTGTTCATGGGATGCCTGTGCCTGTTCTAGGGCGTCTGGTTGTGCCCGAAGCCTTGCACTGTTTGTGCTTCTCTTCAGGACAACCAAGGGGGGGAGTAGGCCCTTCTACAAGTGTTCTTACTCTTACATTAGGCCGTTTTTGCATTTTTGTTGAAAACAAATGTCATAAATGGTGAGAATGACATGTTTATATTTAGTGCAGTGTCAAGTAGCTGTTTTCCATGAAATACCTCCTTGAACTCATGTTCCATTTATAATATGTATTCATATTCCTTAAAAGTGGGTACGTAATAGTTCCATTTACTCATTGAAGTAAGATAGGTGAACAGCTGCAAAGCAGTGCCAGGATTTAAACATCGTCTGTTCTCGCTGCTGAGAGACAGTGATGTTCTTGTTTATGGTAACACATTTCCTCAATGTAGTTGATACATTTTTTTAAAAAGTAATCTTAATCACTGTAATTCCAATGTTACTCAAATTACAGTCTTAATCTTCTTTGTAAATTATTACCATTCACACTTCCCTTCTGTGCAGCAAAGTCCTTTTCTGCTCGCTGTAGAGTGCCTGGAGTACTAGGGTGTTCGCTGCTGCTCACTGTCCACTGTTCACGAACAGCCAGTGCCCTGGCCTATGGGAGGAGATACTGCTCACAGTCCTCACAGTCAGTTTCATGGGTCTTTATATGTCAGTTCATCACTTAACTGGAAGGTACTATCTGTATTTTTGGCGGTATAATTCCTTAGAAGCTTTCTTCCCCTGTCAGTCACCTAGAAAGACAGACTGATATTAACATGCACACTTAGGGGATGTATCTGAGCCTGCGTGCACCCCAACTCTCCAGGTGTCCTCCAGAAGCCACCTGTGAGCCTGAAATTCACGTTTCTGACCAGAAGCAAGGAAAGGGGAACTGACGGCTAGTGAAACTCGGAGAGGTTGGTGAGGGCACAGAGCTTCCAGACGCTTTTGTCTGTAGATGAGAACTCTTCTAAGGTAGCTAGAAAATGAATTGATGCCCAGGTAAGTGTTGCTGGTGTGGCACAGGCCGTGGAACTTGACAGAGGTGGAGTTTGTACTCACTCAGTGACTTTTAGCTTTAGCTTTATGCTAAAGTCTGAGTAAACTGTCACTTCTTTACAAAGCCCCCTCAAGAAGGCGGTGATGTGATTGGCACAGTACCCTGGCCATCAGGAAGGCTGTGGGAGCCGTATGTTCCCTGGCACTGGAGCCTGAAGACCTTGGCTGAGATCCTGGACTCATTCTTCTGTGTTCTCTGTTCTCTATTCAGGGCTTCCTGATGGTGAAACACTCTTTCATAAATCCTGTGAAGGATAAACTTGTAACACTGAGTTTTGTATTCAAAATTAGAATGTTTTAACATCAGCTAGTTTGCTGTTTTGCTTATTCTTGGAAAATTCAGGGGCAAAAAGGAAAAATCTGTTGGTTATGTAAAGTAGAACGTATTCATTGCTGATTTGTATTTGTGGAAGGTAACTCTTCCCAGCCTGTGTAAGCATGAGGGCCCACAGCTGGGTGCCTGCAGAAGGGCCTCACTAAAGGCTTTTTCTAGAAGGAAAACCCTAGAGGGGGCGGTGGGGGCAGTTTGCGGGAAGTGCCCTCTGAGAGAGTGTTTCCTCTGTCCCTGCTCAGGGCGTGGTGCAGCAGTTCCTGGTGCTGCTGACGACCAGCTCTGACGAAAGTCTTCAGTTTCTCAGCTTCCGGCTGGACTTCAACGAGCACTACAGGGCCAGAGAGCCAAGGCTGCACGTGTCGCTGGGCACCAGAGGGCGGCGCAGCTCCCGCACGTGAAGCCTCCCAGCCGTCCCGGGAGCCACAGATGCTGCCAGTGTGTTGTTGGCGTGAAAGTCCCCATTTCGGTTCCACAAGCACGTCAGTGGCACATGGGAGATTGCAAGTTTTGGTTTAGATGTTGGAGTCAAACCCATTTGTAATATCACGAAGTTAAAGAGACTGGCTGCACTACTCGAATTTTATTTCTGAAAATCTTCATAGTTAAAACATACCATGATTTGTTGAGATGTCTTAAGCTGTCTGTGATATAGTTTGTACTTGTCATTTTTAAAACCATCAGTTTCTTTAGAGAAAATTAGGGCAATGGGATATTCATCAATTAAGGTGATGCTATCATTGCTGGTTTTTTAACAATCCTCTTCAGAGGCAATCTTTGTTAACATAATCAAATTAAATTGAAACAATCTCCCTACTAAAAAAAATATAGAACATTTTATTTTGGTTTTCTAGTGTTGTAAAATACCAATGTCTATGAGAAACTTTGTATCTCAGTGCGTTACTTTTACATATATTTATTCCTATTTTCTTTCAGAGTTTACATTTTTATATTTAATTTACTATTTCAGAAAAGTTTTAGAATAGTCTAGAAAAAAGCAGCAGTGACACAGAACAAAGACGTCCTTGTACAGTGCAGCCTCGCATGAAACCTTCAGCTGAAGTGGTGTGTAAATAGGAGTGACTAGAAAAAGTTAATGGAGTATTTTATTTTCACAATTCTGATAAGCCTTGGAGAGAAATGGACTTGGATAATGAACATTTCCTTCTTCCTTGCCTATTTTTTCATTGTAAATATTTATATACTACTGACCAGATGTGGGGGGGAACTGTTATTTTGTAAAAATGTCATTATCAGGTCACATAAATCTGCCTTTATTAATGTTACATAAGTGAAAATTTAGAAAATTAAAAGCAATTATATTTCAGAGTCATCAGTTGTTTCTTGAGCAATTTCACGAAGAGACCCTGCACATGCTGGTTCTGGGGGTGAGAGCTGATGAGGCCTGATGTGCAGGGCTGCAGTGAGCGGGCCCCTCACTCAGGAGAGCAGGACGTCAGGCGCTGCAGCTCCAGGGGAGAAGCAGAGCACAGTCGAGAGGGCCGAGAGGGCTGGATGCGGGAGTCCACAGTGAGGGTTAGAAACTCTCAGGATGTACGTATTTGTAGTTAAAAAATTTTAGAAATGAGAAATTTGAAGTAGATTTCTCTGCTGTAGGCCTTCCGAGATTATCAGGATATACTGTGCATCTCCAAGAGAAAAATATTTCCCAAAGTTGAGTGTGTAACCTGCTTTTGTTTTATTTCATTCAAAGCATTGCATCAGGGATTAATCTGCAATAGAAACTGCTCTAGAAAATGCCACCCTAGAGTTAGGGACTGAAACACCAGTTGTGTTAGGAGTTGTGCCAGTTGAGTTGGATTTGTGCACTAGGGGGCGCTTCTGAGGAGTTGGTGCCCAGAACAGAACTGTGGGTGTTGGACGGCAAGGGAGATGTGGTGTCACTGTGCTCCCACAGCCAGGCCCGGTGGGGAGCCAGGATCTCAGAAACCATCATCAGCGAGGTACGGGCAGTATGAGGGTTCTGTGCTGGGGCTCGGGGGAAGGGAGTGCGAGGCGAGGGTGGCCTGTGTTGTCTCCACCCTGTAAACGCGGCTCACTCTTCACCTGTCAGGCTTGTGATGGGGAAGGCATGATGCAGACAGGGCCTGGCTCATACGAGGCACTTAATGAATGGTGCTCCGTGTCCTGGTGTCCTGGTGCAGTGAAGCCGTTTCCCTGGGCAGCTGGAGCCAGTGAAGCCAGCTGTGTCATCTGGGCCCCTCTGACCCACCGAGGTGGTGGAGGGCACGGTGGCCCTGTGTGGAGGGGCCTGCCCCATGTCCTGGGGCCTTGATGGCCTGACTGGTGAGGGGATGTTCTGATTCCCCCGGTATACTTGTCACCAGCAATGTTCAGGGCATCGTGACTCCCAAGTCTCCATGGAATCGTGCGCTCCAGGCACTAAAGGACAGGACAGAAAGGCACAGCAGCTTGACAATCCCACTTCTCAGGAAAAGAGCACATGATCACGCTGAAGCCGGGTCATGAGAGACAAGCATGTGTCTCTAGAAACCTCTGCCCTTGCGTGGCGCTGACACCTGGAGCTGTAAATTCAGCTCCTGGCTCCAGGGAAACAGGTTGCATGTGGCTGTGAGTGTTGGTCAGAACAGCTCAGTGACAGTGAGGCAGACAGGCCCTTCCTACCCGCTGCTCTTCTGGACCCTTCACACCCACAAGGGTGTGGCCATGTTAGTGACACAGACACCACAGTAAGAGGCTTAGGGGAGAAATGGAATGATGCTTGCAAACAATTCAGAAATAACAGATCATATGCAGCCACGGCGCATCTTGTTTTCTTGTGGTTCACAGACGCCAACTGAAGGGTGTGGAGACCCTATAATGAGCACGTCCGTGGGCACATGTTTCCAAAGCACGCGCTCACTTGGAGTCTCTGTCACATTTGGTAATTCGACATTCTAAACTTTTCCATTTTTCTATCTTGTGGTGATCAGTGACTTTTGGCGTTGCTGTTATACTTGTTTTGAGACACAACGAAACACACCCCTGTAAGTGTAATCTTCACTGGCCAACGTCATGTGTGCCGACTGCTCCACTGGCTCCCTCCGTCTCCTGTTCCTTGGGCCTCCTTGTTCTCTGAAACACTCTGAAATCAGGTCGATTAATAGCCCTCAAGTAGCCTCTTAAGTGTTCAAGTGAAAGTTGTGTGTCTTTCACTTTAAATCGAAAGCTAGGAATGATTAAGCTCAGTGAGGAAGGCGTGTGGAAAGCTGGGTAGGCTGAAAGCTCAGCTTCTCTTACCAAACAGCCAAGCTGTGAATGCAGAGCAGAAGTTCCTAAAGGAAAGTCAAAGTGTTTTATCTTCAGAACGCAGAAAAGATATAAAAGCAAAACAGCCTGTACCTGATAGAAAGTAAGTCTGAGTGAAGATCAGTCCAGCCCAAACATTCCCCTAAACCAGAGCCTGACCCAGAGCAAGGCCCCGACTCTCCAGTTCTCTGAAGGCCGAGGGGTGAGGAAGCTGCAGAGGCTGGTCCATGAGGTTTGAGGAAAGACACATCCTCATGACATAAAAGTGCGAGGTGAAGCAGCAGGTGCTGATGGAGCAGCTGTGAGTGACCCAGGAGACCTGGCTGAGGTCAATGCCGAGGTTGGCTGTGCTACAGATGTTCACTGTAGACGAAACCTCCTCCTGTTGGAAGATGCCGTCTAGGCCTGTCATAGCTGCAAAGGAGAAGTCCATGTCTGGCTTCAAAGCTTCACAGGACGGGCTGGCTCTCCTTAGGAGCTAGAGCAGCTGCTGACCTTAAGTCCAAGCCAGTGCTCACTGAGCATTCTGAAGATCCCAGAGCCCGCCAGGATTATGCTGAACCTAACTACTGTGTCTGTGCTCTGTAAATGGAACAACAAAGCTGGGATGACAGCACAGCTGTTTACAGAATGGTTACTTTATATTTTAACACCACTATTGAGAGCTGCTCAGAAAAATAAAGAATTCCTTTTAAAATACTGCTCATTGACAATGCACCAGGTCATCCAAGAGCTCTGATGGAGAAGTGCTAGGAGGTGAATGTTGTCTTCATGTCCATTGATCAGGGAGTCATTTTGACTTGCAAGTCTCATTATTTAAGAAGTACAGTTTGTGAGGCTATAGCTGCCATAGATAGTGATTCCCTGATGGATCTGGCAAAGTGAAATGAAAATCTTCAAGAAAAGATTTCACCATTCTAGATGACGCTGTTAAGAACACTTGTGATGATGGGAGGAGGACAAACGTCCACATTAACAGGAGGCTAGAAGGTGATTCCAGCTGTGGTGGATGCCTTGAGGGGTTCAGGACTCCCGGGGAGCAAGTCCCTGCAGATGTGCTGGAAATAGCGGGAACCAGAGTTGGAAGTGAGCCTGGAGATGGGGCCGAGTTGCTGCGATCTCAGGATCAAACTTGGGTGGATGAGGAGCTGCTTCTCATGGACGAGCAAAGAAAGTGCTGTGTTGAGGTGGAACCTACTCCTGGTGAAGGTGCTGGGAACACTGTTGAAATGACAACAAGGTATTCGCAATATTCCATAAACTCAATTGGTATGGCAGGGATTTGGAGAACTGACTGCAATTTTAGAAGAAATTCTGCTGCGGATAAAACCCTGTCGAACAGCATCATGTGCTGCAGAGCAATCTTTCATGAGAGGAGAGCCCACGGATGTAGCAAGCTTCATTGTTGTTGTATGTTAAGAAGTTGCTGCAGCCACACCAGCCATCAGCAGCCACCTGCGTCCTCCACCTGCAGAAGGACGTGGCTCACCAGAGGCTGATGATCATTAGCAAGTTTTAGCCATGAGAGATTTTAAAATTCAGTGTATCTGGGGTGGGGGGGGTGTTGGACAAAATACATTTGCACACTTGACAGACTACTATATTTGTGTGACCCACTTTGCTGTGGTGTCTGAACTGAACCTGCAGTAGACATGTTTGCATTTTTAGCTGATGAGAAAATAATGGTCAACGGAACACAGTTCTCTGTGTGTAAGATGTGCAGCCAGGTTCTTTCCGTGTTTGGTGAACTTGGACTGAGTAGGCATGAGGCTGCTAGAATCTAATGTGGACAGAGGGAAGCATAGCCTATCAGGTGAGCTTTTGGCACTTCTCAGCATGCCCATTCTTCAGAAAGTTCACTGTGTGGACAAGTGTTTGTGCTAATGACCCAAACTAAGTGAGAAGTGCCCTTTTCAGGCTAGGTGCAGTAGCTCACGCCTATAGTCCCAGCATTCTAGGAGGCTGAGGTGGATGGGTTGCTTGAGCTCAGGAGTTCAAGACCAGACTGAACAAGTACAAAAAAGGAATTAACTCCCATCTCTGCTAAAAACAGAAAAACTAGCTGGATGTTGTGACGTGCACCTGTAGTCCCAGCTACTCAGGAGGCTGAGCCAGGAGTTTGAGGTTGCTGTGAGCTATGATGCTATGGCACCCTACCCAGGGTGACAGAGTGAGACTAACCCTCCCCCCGCAAAGTGCCTTTTTAGTGAGGAGATTATGACCAAGCCTTTTCTGCTACAGCTGCTGGACTATTCAGATACCCTCATTCTGAGTTTGTTTTTATTTTCCAGGCAGCGTGCCTTTTCCTTTAGGCCTTCACATTCCTAGCATCAATTTTTACATAAATGCCTGTATAATTTTTTAAATATTAATTTTTGAGTTGCTCCTTCCATTCTTTATTTTACATATATGTGTTTTCCCTTTTTGTCTTATTACTACATTCCCCAAAGTTTGTTTACATAGCTTAGGTCTTTCAAGAATTATCTCTTTTTTGATTTTTATCATTTTCCTATAGATGCACTGGTTTTTTTTTATTTTATTATAAATTACTATTTTATATTTAATTCTTTCTGCTTTGGGCTTATTTCATGATCTGAATGCTGACTGGGTTTATCGCGTCACCATTTAATGAGCATTTCCAACTCTTGAATTGTCCTCTGGGTAACTTTCACAAGTTTTTATGAATATACTTTAGTTTCAATGTTATTAACACCTAACTCATGTAATATGTGTCATTTTCTTTTGATTGTGGTTATAATTATAATTTCAAAATTTCCAGGAAGTTTTCTTTTTGTGTTTTCAATTTTTTCTTTTTCAAAGAGTAAAGTGAAAGAGTGAAAGAACAATGAAGGGAAATTCTCCAAACCATAGATCAAAATATAAAGCTCCTGTGTATACAACAGGATGGTGGAGAGACAGGAGCGTCCGTGGGTGGAGTGACTGTCCCAAAGTGCCACCATTCCTGGGTCTTAGCACGTGATCAAAGTTCACTGCGAGACACAGGGAACATCTCATTATTCACAGATGCTTTGGGGTCAATAGTTTGAGGCAAA